CAAATTTTACGGATACTGCTTCCACACTTGAAAATCCTTTTAATCCACGAGGAGGAGTCTACATTTATATCTTCGATACTAATACAACTAGACTCGAACCAGCCGCTCTTTATGAAGCTCCAATTTCAGGAATCAAATTTATTAAAATAGATTGTGGTGTTTCTTACGTAGGGATTGGACAAACTTGTATAATAACGGGAGAATTAACAAATCGAACTGCTGAAAAAAGCTTTATCTTAAAATTGATTTTCTTTCATCTGGAATCGAAATAAATGTTTTGCCAATGAATATTGATATTCCAAATCCATTAATTGATCAATTTAGTATCGCAACATTACCGTATGGAGGTTATTTATTAAGTGGAATAGGAACGTTTGATAATGGTGAAACTATCATTGAAGGTTTTATTTTCAATGACGAAGACATAGTTTATCGTTGGGATCTTCCATTTTCTACCGTGACAAACTTCTTAATAGTATCGAAAATTTTAAGAAATAATACTTATATACTTGCTCAGCTGGAAGAGAAACGAAACTGGGCTTTGGTCACCACTGACTTGTATAAATTTGAAGAAGAAAAAGGTAAGCGATAAACGCTAACAAGAAAAATTCAATTAAAAAAATTAAAAATTAAGCTTTTCAAAATTCTAGATCATGGTTATGAAAATTTCCACATCGACACCAAATCTCCAAACATTAATGATAAATTGTACTCGAAACAGAGTCCCTTACAATTAAATATTTTAATGAAGTAGATGGTCGGATTAAAATTTTTCAAGAAAATGGTAATTTGCGCCAAATAATTCCTGGAATCAACTCATTTGTAACAAAAAGTGTGGATGGAAATTTAACTACGATTAATATCAAATTATTAAATTGCACATTGAATCAACTTGGTAGTAGATATTATGTTTCAATCGAAAATAATTTTGTAAGGGACCGAATTTACAAAGAACCCCTCTATGGTGTAAAAGATCATGTTTGGTCTTTTATTACATCTCCACGTAAGTTCTTATAAATTTTTATAGTTTAAGAGAAATTGAGTTAGTTTTATTATTTTTACATTTTAAACATTTCTTAATAGTTCCACCAAAAAAAAAGATATTCAGAGACCGTAAAGGGTATAGTTCGATTGACTGTTTCAGGGACTTATTATTTTGATAATCATAAAATACCGAACGTAAAAGATTCTTTTCGAAATTAAGTCAAGAATTGGCTGATGCAATTCCCGTCAGTCGTCAACGTATAACTACCAATGAAAAGGCTGAAACTGACACTTCAGTTCTTCAAAGACAAATATTATTACCTATTGAAATCAAAAAAGACGATTCTTTTCAAGAAAGAACTGTTAGATTTGCAATTATTGATTTAGATCAATTGATTACGAATAAACCAATTACCGTTATTGGATCTGGTGAAGCTTCACAACATTTAGATGAGATTTATGGATATAGACTACTTCGTAAGAATTCGTTCTTAATTATCATATGAGCATGTTTTCAAATAGAAAATTCTCAATTAAAAAACTAAATAGTATACTTATTAACTAAAAATAGAAAGCCCGTTGAATTTTATTATATATGGTCTCCTTATTACATTCGTAGCCGCATCTATGAATGTACTTTTTTTCTTGGTCGTCAGAAATGTAAAACTTATTGTAAATACCATACCACCAATATTATTTTTAAATAGCAGCATGGCAATATTTAGAATATCTTTGAGTTGCCATTATGTAGAACCGTGCATTTACGAAGGTTCAGGTTGCGAAGAAGCCGGAATTAGAGCAATCTCAGCATTCTATTAAGAATCAAAGAACACGAATATTGCAATAATCCTTGGAGCTTTGAATAGTGCCGGCCTAAATGCAAAAAGAGACACGATTCCAGTGGATAATTTAGGAGTTTTTACGACTAACCTGGTGAATATGTACTTTCTTCCAGGTTTGATGGAAAATGTTCATCA